CCTTGACTGACATTTGCTTTTAGCAGCTCCTGCGGGATGGGGCAGTGGGCTGGTGGAAGGCGATAGTGAGGGAGGGGTGAAGGGAGATCCGCCATGCCCCCTGTCCCTCAGACAACAAAGAAAGTGAGTGATGTTTGTCTGAAAACCAAGAGCCGCAATCCCTCGTTTTGATGTGTGGGCCACCTGGGATGCGGGTCTCCGTCAGCACTCGGGCCGAGGAGAGAGGAAGAGAAACAGGACTCACACAGATCTCGTCCTCAGGACAAACAATCTCAGTGACAAGCCGGCCGCAATCCCACGGAAGTCACCCAACAGATGAGGCATTCAAACACGCAGAAAAAACAAGGGACGCTTAGATGGCTACAAAGGGGCCAGAGCAGCACAGCATGGTTTCCTCCAAAGTTTGAGGATTAAAGTTTGATCCCTGCAAGAAACAAATTAATCTCATCTAAAACTCACAAATGGTAAAAAATAAAATAAAAAATAACATCATGAAGGTAGTCCTAACAAATATTTTCTTAAGCACTTTCTTAAGTTTAACTTTGAAGGATTTTACACAAACTTCAGCACTCCTGAGGTAAATATTGTGCTACTTTGTTTCCTTTACAAAACCTCAAATTTGGTTTCAAAATGCCCAATGCATGCATAATACAAAACAGGGGTTTTTCTCCTGCCTAACAAACTTTGGATAGTTGGTGGAGATCATTTTGTATTGAGGTACACACCCAAATTTACCTCAATATTCCTGAAAAAGTGTAAAAGTAAGACGGTAAGCAGTATTTTGTCAGTACTCTAACACAGGACCATAAAGGAACAAATTTAAACAAAGACTACAGTTTTGCACATTTATCGTCTGGTGTGAAACTGAATTCACTCACACTGACCTGAGCTTTAGTTTTTAGGATTTATAGGTCTTGAGACTTGGGAAGCTGCACTAACACGCTCCTGCAGTGGACAATTTTTTTTTTTTTTTTGCATTTCCACATTGCAGAAAAACAAAAAATAAAGAGATAATGAGGAAGTCTGACTGCCAGTCATCCTAAACTAATGTGAATAAAGACTTCCTTGTTCCAATAGGATTAACTGGAAAGAAATGACTGTGGCAGCTGTCTGGTTTGGTTCCCAAGGGCCTCAATTTCCACTTGATTAACTGACATGATCAAATTACATGTAGACATTTAGACTAATTTAATATTCTCTAATGTTCATGTTTTTCTTGTGTGTGTGTGTGTGTGTGTGTGTGTGTGTGTGTGTGTGTGTGTGTGTGTGTGTGTGTGTTTTTAAAATATAAGACTGTCAAATTAAAGTTTAAAGTAAAAAAGCAAACACTCTGATGACTCATAAGGCATAACGATCCCGGCATGTCGCTGCAAAGCGTGAGTGCACTCACTCATTGCTTGGCAGGGGTGTAACTCGTTAAGCTTCTATCAGGTTTGAGCTGTTCATTAGTCTTATGGCTCGACCACAAACCCTTCAGGATCAACGTGCACGATAGGAGGGATTTCTCTACAGTCACATTTCAGCGTCTAGTGGAGGGAAGCTCTGAGAAATCTAGAAACACAGAAATCTGGCTGACTAAAAATGAGTGAATTACTAAGAAATTGCTGAATTTTTCATTAAAAGCAATTCTGGTTAAGACTCCCATATTCTCTAACAAGAGACTATTTTTTTTTTTGGTATTGTCTTTTAACCTAAAAGCAATTTCAAAGAGAAAGGCTTAATTAATATGCATTATTCATCAAACGAGCCACCTATTTTGACGTATGTGGAAACTCTAAACAACATGATTTTGAAATTTGCACCATAACTGTGGTTCATCTGCAACCGCTTTTCCATTAATCATCAGGTTAAGTTTAAACATATGAGATTGATTTGTTTAGGGTGAAGGTGTCTATCGCTTTTGGTGCCGTGACACCAGTGGAAATGTCACGGTGCTGCAAATTTCTGGACTCGCCTCAATCATATCACAGATCTGGAAACCATTATTTAGTCCAGGGTACATTTCGTCACCAGCTTACATCATTTCGATGCGTTTCCGTCATTTGTGTTTGTTGTTCAAAGGGGTGTGAGAGTGTTGAAGGCAAGAGAGTGCTGAAACAAAGAGGGAACACCCCGAATAGACCCAAAGGTCCCGCTTGATTACAGACTGGTATCTTTCTCAGATTAAACGTGAGCGAAAGTGATTTCTACGCTCGGTGGAGAGCTTTTTTCTTTCCCCCTCACTACGAGGGGCCGAGAATGGTAAGCGGCCCGCACAGAGCATCGGCTGTGGGAGGCAGAGTCGGGGTACAGGGCCCAGATGGATGTCAGGGCAACATCTGTTCCACCTCCTGGCTGGATCTTATCAGGAGAAACGCTGCCACACACGCTGGATGGGAGAAGCCGGAGAGAAAGAGGCATTCTTTTCAGAGTTTAAAAAAACATGCCAGCTTTTGTTTGTCCTGTAAACGAAAGTTAGGTTCCCGGTCGGGTCACACATTTGCATTTCACAAAGCTCACAGGGTTCATTTTGTGGTGTGTGATAGCATTTGTTTATACTTGTGCTGTATGACATTAATTTCTATCTTTATACATTAAGTAGTAGTTGCCAAAATATGAACATAATCCAATTAATATTCTTATAAAATTATATTTTGTAAGAATATTCAGTACCTAAAGTGTTTAAATTATAACCAATTTAACCAGTTGGCAAAAATGCTGCAGCTGTTGAATGCTGACATGTTAAATGAATGCTGTCATTTAACATGTGAGCTGCACGTGTACTTTTGTTGATATCTATTGTTTCTGACACCCATTTCAGGACTTCTGAGCACAGTGTGCTTATTCTACTCTTTGCTTTTATGCAACAGAAGTAACATGAAATACAAACAGCATATATTCCATAATGTTGTTGTTTTTTCAAACAAGCTCTTTGACCTGTTTTTAATTAAAGTGGGAGAGAAAGTGTGAGAGAAAACACACCCAGGCAGCTTTGTCGTCACTTCACATCACAGTTTTGCTAAAAAAGATGAAATGCTGCAAACATGACATTGTTTTATAAACCCACATAGCTTCTGCTTCCAACAATATGAAATATCATGGAGCACCTTAAATGTTCAAATGAACACCGGCCGTGTTTGAACAGCACCTGATGGAAGATTTCCTGTTAACTGAAGTGTGTGTGTGTGTGTGTGTATATACACACAACAAACTGTAACTAAGTTGTAAATGTGAGAAGAAAAAAAAAAAAGCCCAGATAATGACGTGAATGCAGCACTCTTGATGTCAGAAAATCAAAACCAAAAAGACAAATGATAAACTATCATGAAGGCTGCAGCCTCGCATGGCGGATAATTGCTCGTGATTGGCAGCTTTGAACTGTGTTGCATAAGTTCAGCGTGCTTCTGTGCAGCGTCAGCCGCAGTCGTTCTCTAGAGGGCAATTTTCCTTGTTTTATCCTTTTGTTACAAATCACACCTTCACTTTATATTGCTGCCAACAATTAGGCTTGCCATAGATTTGTAGATCTCTTTGCATCTTCCTCCCTTCCTGTCTACCATTAATCAAGATTCATTTTAGTAAATTATAAATTATGCCTGCAGAGACTTGAATGTACTGTCTCCATCACAGTAAACATCCAGTTTCGGTTATTGTTGCTAGGTAATGTACTGTGAACGAAAATCGACTAGAAAAGTCTTGACAGACGACGATAGTTTAACTTTGAAGCTTCGTACTGAGGGTCTGCTGCCAACAAGGACGAGACACTCCCCGAGCCAGACACCAGGCATTAAATGAGCAGAGCAGGTGAAGGTTTAGCGAGGAGAAGACCGTCTGCGTCTTCTTCAGGGGAATTAAATCACCTTTACAGACATGGAGACGAGTGGGGAGAAGTGGAAGCGTGAGAGGTCCCTCGCCTCTCTTCTTTCTCCCGGGAGGGCTGCTCCTCTGAGGTCCTGGCCTCTTCCCTTCCCCTGGGCACTCGGCATGCCCACGCTGAGGGAGGGCTACTTTGGTGTGACCAAAGGGAAGCAGAGCGATCAAGAGTGAGACAGAGAGATGGAAAAAATCTGAGCAAAGAAAAGAAAAAAGAAAGAAAGAAAAAAGATAAGAAGAGGGAGAAAAAAGGACTTAAAATAGAAAGTGAGAGCGACAGGAAGAAAAAAGGGGGAGCGAGACGAGCGCAGCAGCCCATGGTTTGTCTCAGGGCTGCAGGAGCTTCCAGAGCTGGTGTGCAGCAGACTGAAGAGAAGCACGTCTGCCCCAGAGGCAGAGACTGGAAAACAGGATCAAAGAGTCGCCAGGGCAACCTGCATGACACACATTGTATTAAAGCCACACGGTTAATTTGAAAGAGAACGAAGAAGGGCAAAAGGAGAAGAAAGGGGGAGGCAGAGGTAGCACAGAGTAGAGTATATTTATCAGGCACTCCTGTCTCACTCTGTTAACTTTCCACTCAGAACTTTCTTCAGCTGCTCCACTTTGACTCTCTCTTACTCTCTCTCTCTTTTTTTAAAACCTCTGGCTCAAACTCCTCTGTGTCATCTGCATTTTCCTGATTATCTTCCAGCAGCTCAGGTTTCCACGGGTCATGCTAAATCACAAACCAGAGGTACTGTGAAGAAAACATGCAAACTTTCAATTCTTTAAATATTTTGTGCTAAAACATGAAATGCAAATAATCCATTATTCAAATATTTTCCCATTCATACCCATTTTGACCAAATTTAAGCACAAAAACCCTTTAGCTCCACAGCTCGGCAATTATTCTGCGAATAACTGCATTACGCCCCTCGATAGCATTCAGAGGAAGTAAGAGGACAAATGTATCAGATATTTTACTTCCACAGTTTAAGAAGCAAAAGTGATCAAAATGCCAACAAGAACTGTGACGGTAATTTTCCTTTTAAAACGTAAATTGCCTTTTTTGAGACAAATGCAAGATGAGATAATAACAACAACAATGTAAATACTGCATTTTTAAAGGTTTGGGTAATGAAATGACATGAAAAGGCCAACAGATCCCTAGTCAACAGATTTATTTTGCTTTCAAGCGAACAAATGTATCATTCTCACATCAGGTACAAAAAGTGGTTAAATCTCTACAAACCTGACAAAAATACTAATCAAAATAACAACAAACAATACAGAGTACGCAGGAAGGAGGAGGGGTGAACATTATTCATAAGCACATCTTCGGGACAACCACACACCTGTGGCACAATGAACATGACTCATTTTAAGAGGTGTGGAGTCCACCTGAGGGCAGCCGCACTGAACTGGCTCATCTAGGCCAAAGAAGCCCCATTGAGCAGTAATGGAGACAGGGAGCAGAGCAGGAGTGGAGGGGTAGTGTTGGTTTGGATGAAGTGGGGCAGAGGTACGTGATAAACAGCAGACGGGGAGGGGTCTTCAGACAGTTGGAAGGCATTAGTGTGTCGGACAGCGACTTGTCAGATGCAGCTGTTGCTGTGGCTGATTGATAGTTTGTATTTCACCCAGATGGGAGTCTGCAGTCACAAGCCAATGCTGAAAGGGATTATATCAAATTCAAAAGAAAAAAAAAACATACTGTAAAAAAACAAAAACATCATCAAAAGTGACAATTTTAGTGTTAAGCAACCAAGTCCATTACATTTCTCTACTTGTGGAGAAATCCAGCCTGGTCAATCATTGTTTTTTGTTTCTTTTTTTCTTCTTTGATTTGAAAAAATTCCTAAGTGTGACTCGTGTGTGTATGACATATAAAAAAAATCTGAATGCAGCTCTGAGAGGTTAAGATACAGAGCTAGAAAATATATCCTAAGTTGCACATTTACAAAAGCATTCAAACTCATTTCCACTTTCTCTGAAAGAATAATGTCTCCATAAACTCACCTAACACTAGTCACATGATTAGTAGTACTTGTGTATGGCTGCACAGGAGGGTACACAGCAATATACTTGTCTGCATGTACATAAGATACTCCATGAGATACTCAGACTACACTATTCAGATTAGATATTCAGACACGGTGTGACACACCGATATGTAACTACCGTTCATAACACAAGGCTTTGGACTATGCACTCCAATCACATGATGGCATTCGCTGTTACCGAGTCAAAAGGAGAAGCACACTTGACAGCCATACAGTACTTCTCAGTGGAAGGAACTTCAACCATGCCCACCCAAACATCCTGTAAAGTAATTAGTGGAGATGTTAAACATATCTACAGACAACCTGGGCTCCACTGTGTGTGTGTGTGTGTGTGTGTGTGTCTGTCTTAGTGCTCAATAATGACCAAAGGAATGCCATACCTTCCAAATGCCATTGATTTAATCACAATGGCACAAACAGCAGTAAACAAGATTTCTGTTGTCGGCAAAGTTCAGTGATTTCTTTTGACAAACTGCTTTACGCTGGGTGGGTTTAACAGTCGCGCTCCTCTGTCAGGCTGTAGTAGTTGACTGTCGCTTGTGCACGCTCTTCCAATTTGAAAAATGAGACCGCAGTGAAGGGAGGATAACATACAATACACATCTCACAGAGAGAAACCAACAACTGCTGTATTTTCTTGTGTGTGTGTGTGTGTGTGCGCGCGCATGTGTGCGCATGTACATGGGCACCAGCAGGATGTGTTGGTGTTTAACCGCTAATGTCTCCTAGCATTAGCAGCTTTAGCATCATATCCTTGCCGGCTCTGTGTCTTTGTCCTCCAACAGGCTAATGAACTGACCGAAGCTCTCCTTCACCGCCTCCATGCTGTCAGTGGTGCTGCCCTCCAGGATCCAGCGCTTTCCTCGGGCCAGCGGTTCCAGCTCAAAGTACTTCTTGATCTGCAGCCAAACACACGATGCAATCAGCTAAAATAATCATTTGAAAAAAGTAAAATCTTATATTTAGCGTCTAACAACAGCTCCTGTTTTCAATACGAATAAAAAAATATGAATCAACATTTTAATTTCCCCCCAGAACATCTTTGATCAAATTCAAAGTATAAAAAGTTCAAATAAAGCAAAAACACACAATCGTCAAACTACAGCTTGTAAAGGCATGTAAGCTGGCACATTTTCATCTCATATCCTCACCACACTAGGTCAGTTCACACATTACCTCACCCTCAAACATGTGGCAGAAAGTAACTGTATAACGTTGTGCTTTAGTAACACATAAGACTGAAGACATAGTACGTTTTTTAGACCGGTATCCAGTAATTGCTGCTGTTCAACCCCCCCCCACACACCTAAATGAAACACAACAACCTCTTCATCTGACGAATAAAAGGGTTGGCACTGCTCTTTGTAACAGTTATTATAAAGTTCATATGCTGGCTTTTGGCTGCTCTTGACAGTGGGGGTGCTGTGAGGTTCAGGGGAGAACCAGAACCAGCTGTTACGTAAAAACAAATCTCAGCAGAGAGAAACAATGTCTTAGACCTCCACTGAAGGTACTGCAGGTTGTTAGGGTTTCTGACATTTTCAAGCTGAGAGATATGGAAACAATTTTTTTGCCCGATGTGAACCCAGTTCAGCCATCTCCTCCTGTTTGCCTTATAGCCAGTGAAGAATGCACAAAACCAAATGTGTACTGTCAGCAGCTCTGGGAGAAAAATGCAAAGCTTCAAATGTAACAGATGCAATAAAAACACAATTTCCCACCTTATTAACTAATTTAGTCAGTTTCATGCTCAGTTTGACAATGGTGTATAGGCTTGCAGAAATGTACACAATGTGTAACAGACGCTGGGTTGAAATATATGAATATAGGCATCTCTATTTCACACTCATCTTTATTAGAATATTAAGCTACAAGCTAAACTACTGCGTTTTTTCGAATGCAATATTCACATTGAGTATTGACTGGCTGGAAAGAGGACAGCACAAAGCTATGCTCTGAAGCTATTTAAAACATTACATTAGCTATTATCAATTTAATTGATTTCTTTAGTGCTCATTTCTACACATTTCTGCAAATATCAAACCGAGATTAATGACTGCAGACAACCTCAGTGTTCTGAATTATACAAGAAAACATGTGCAGCAAATAAACACCACAAAGTCCACAAGGATCGTCACACAGTCAAATTACTTTTCAACTTCAAGTGAAATTGCTTTTGTCTAGACCGTGCTGGGCTGTCTAGCTGTGCCATGGTGTGTGGCATGAAGAGGACGGAGAGGAGGAGGAGGGGGTGCGCACTCTTTGTGTCTGCTCAAACCCAGCCAGCCATGCCAGCGAGTGGGAGAGTGAGTGCCGTCTCTGCCCCCCTGAGCCGAGTCTCTGTCCGGGTGTAATGTGAGTTTAATGACAGATTAAGTCACCTCAGCCGCGTTTGGCTCAGAGGCCTGGCTAGAAAGCCGAGTGGACCCAAACAGTGTTAACAAATCTGTCTGGGTAACTTGAGCTGCCCTAGCCCAGGCTCTAGCCCCAGACCTAGACTGTAGACGATGTGGCTGGCTGCCTGTCTGGCTGGCTTACTTGTCAGCCTGTAGCCAAGGCCCTCTTCTGGAAGACTTTGGCCCCTGCACTGGCAGACAGTCAAAAGTCCAGAAGTGACCTCTGTGCAAGTGCAGACAGGCTCAAGCTTCTCTCACTTCCCCTCACGGGCCAATAGAACACACCCAGGGGCATCTCATAGTGTGGCAAATACCTTCTTTAGCACTGTGCGACAGATGAGCGGCCTTACCAACGACGGCAGATGACTTCTAAAGTTTTCAGTGCAGCTTTACACTTATGTGCGCATGATAAAACCACTAATCTGAGATCTCAAACAATCCCCTTTTTACTTAATAGCCAACTGATATGAACACCTTCTTGCGAGCTACATTTCATCGACACTGCATATCAAATCCAGAGACTTTAATCACACAATTCAGCCATTATATGCTGCTAAAAACACTGCCTCAGTATTACATTACTGAAAGAATCAGCAATGTAATGCAATCAGCAGTGTGGCCCAAACCAGTTTCTCTGAGATTAAATCCTCCTAAGCACACTTATGCTTGCTTAAGGAATTGCGTGAGGCAGTGGTATGGGTAAGCCACACAAGACGTGGATTGCCAGATGGCTCCAAGGATGACCACTGGGTCATCCAGTCTAGCTTCTTCTAGGTCATACAGACCGGAGCGTCTTGCCTTGTGCATGTTAGAAAGCAGCTTATACATGCATGAGGGTGTCAAAAATTCTTTAATCGCTTGTGTCTGTGTCAGCAGAGTTCCTGCTGCTCGAGCCTAGTCATGCTAGCCAACAGTCTGCGCTCTCAGGAGGACAGACATGAAACCCAGGAAAGGTGAACTCTTTGGTAACAGCCCTGAATAGTTAGTAACTTCTGAGACTATGAAAAGTCTAAAGACTGGGAATGTGTAAGGAATCTAACATACCCAAGGGGCAGAAGACAGACATAAAATAATGTTAAAGCATGATTTCTTTTTGGAATATGAGCCTCGACTTAAGTAAATGAATTATAGATCTATTTTTTAGGTTGTATAATTTGTGACCCAGTGTCCGCAGGGAGTGGCTGTATAATATAGTCAGCTAAGCTTAAGCTCCAAACCTGGCAAGCCTACTTTGGGCTATTTAAGATACCCAATGGGCATATATGGCACGTGCATCCAGCTGCTCCCCGACCTGTGCCAGATTACTGCATGTATGGTCACTCTTGGCATCATGCCATGGCAAGAGGATCTCCTGGCAGAATAAAAGAGCTTTAATGAGCTCTGCTCTGGCCTCTTGACCAACTAAACAAACCGTGGAGCCACCTAAAGGGGCAGGGCAGCTATGGAGATACCTGATATTGCTGTCTGATACTACATGTGAAGAAAAAAAAACCCCTAACAAATTTATATCCTCTCCTCTACAGTTGTCTTCACCTTCTAAAAAGGCATAAAGTAGAGCAGGTGGCAGTGGGCTCAGATGTCTATATTTTAAATTATAAAGCAGAGAAAAAACAAAAACAACAAAAACTGTCAGAAGTTTTTTCTCAGTATGCTCAT